CAACCAAGATACTCTATTCAAGAAGGCTCTCATTCAGACTTGAAGAAACAAAAGCTTCACAAACTAAAGCTAAAAGAATTCAGCACCACCAAACCAGCTTTACAACAAATGTTAAAGGACTTTCTCTAGTCATCAAACCATAAGAAAAGAGAATAAAAAGAAGAAAGAGTGGGGTCGGGGGGAAGAACTACAAAAGACCACTTTGGCAGTTTGCTTTTATGATTTCATATAAATGTTGGAATGGTTTGTTCTAGTTCTGTGAAGAATGTCATATTTTGACAGGAATTGCGTTGGATCTGTGGATTGCTTTGGGAAGTATGACAATTTTGATAATGTTGATTCTTTCAGTCCCAGAGCATGAGGTATTTTTCCATTTCTTTCAACCCCAGAGCACAAGATATCTTTCTATTTTTTTGTATTATCTTCCATTTCATTCACCAACGTTCTACAGATTTCAGAGTATAGGTAACCTCCTTGGTTAAGTTTATTTCTAGATATTTTGTTGCTTTTGATGCAATGAAAATGTTTATGTCAGTTATAAAATTCTGGTTTTTGAAGTGAAAAAAAGTGAATGAAGGGCCACAAATGGCAAAATATCCTTCTTTCTTACGGGTGAGTTGTATCCCATAATACACACACACACACACACACACACACACACTACATATACATACACATACAGCAACACATACTACATCTTCTTTATCCATTCATCTATTGATGTGCATTTAGGATGCTTCCATATCTTGGCAATTATAAATAATGTTGCTGTTAATAATGGGGTATATGTATCTTTTTTAATTAATTCTTATTTTGTGGTTGGCTTTATTCCTTTGATAACTATGTAAGTTTAAAAACCTAAAGCTCTAAATGTTCTTAGAAACAATGAACAAACAGTACATATATGTAAATTTAAAAAATATGTGCAGTATATTGTGTATATGTATTTAGATGCAATACATTGTACATGTGCAGTCAAATTGTAACAATTCTACATAATAAAACTGAAAAATGAAAAAAATTTAATGGATGAGGAATTGCTCCTTATAGATGAGTCAAGAAAGTAGTTTCTTGAGAAGGAATCTACTCCTGATATTCTGTGTAGTCTGTTGAAATGACAACAAAAGACTCAGACTATTACATAAACCTGCTTGATAAAGCAGCAGCAAGGTTTCAGAGGACTCCACTTCTGAAAGAAGTTCTACTCTTGGTAAAATGGTATCAAACAGCATCACATGCTACAGAGAAATGGTTCATGAAAGAAGAGTCAGTGGATGTGGTACACTTCACTGCTGTCTTATTTAAGGAACTGCCACAGCCACCCCAACCTTCAGTTATTACCACCTTGATCAGTCAGCAGTCATCAACATCAAGGCAAGACCCTCTACCAGAAAAAGAGAATGACTGAGGGCTCAAATGATGGTTAGCAATTTTATCAAGTAGTTTTTAAATAAGGCATGTACATTGTATTTTTAAGACATAATGCTAGTGCACATTTAATAAGCAGTATAGTATAAACGTAACTTTTACATGCACTAGGAAACCAAAAACATTCTGACTTGCTTTATTGTGATTATTTGCTTTATTGTAGGTATGCCTGTATATATGTTCACAAGCATTTTTAGATAATAATCATTTTTACTTTTTTCCCCTCAAAATGAAAATAGTTTTCTTATATTTCAAAGACAAAAATCACATTAACATTCTTGGGAATAAACTTTATTACTAGGGCTTTAAAATGCATACAAGATAATTGTAGTAGTACTTGCAGGTAAATAATGGGGATGGAGGGAAAAGGAATTCTTAGGAAAATTCTACATTTCACCTAGAGTACCTCTTAAGCTCCCTCTGCTGGCTACCATTTAAATAAAGTAGAAAAAATATAATAAAGCTTTTTTTCTTCCAGGAAGTGATGGGAGATGTAGGCTGAAGCTGACAATTTTGTTGTTGAAACTGAAAGGAAAATTCTCTGAAGTAAGGACTAAGTCTAACTGACGTCTACTTCCCCTAATAAGGCTTTAGGACTTCCAAACAGATTTTGGCGGGGGTGGTGGAGCTGGGAAGGGCAGGCGCCATAGTTGACTTAAAATAAGTAAAGTCATTATCAAGTTTAAATATATTGAGCATTAAATCAATACACAAAAATGCAAAAGCATTTAGTATAAAAGAAATCAACTATAAACAATTACCATTCAACACTAGAAAATTAATAATTTAAATATATTTCACAAACTTCACTAGAACAAAAAGCTTATACCACACTATTAATCTATTAATTTCAATATTAAGGTTTATTTTTTCCTCCAGAGTGAGGTTAAGTAACAATTTAAATAATTTTCAGGATGTATAAATGAACATCCATTCAGAAAGAACATTACTGCTTAAAAGTTGCTAAGAAATATTTCGCATGTAATAAATATATTTTATGTTTAGGTTAACAGGCACCATCTTGAGAGCAAAAAAGTATTTTTTTTAAACCAATAAATAAATTACATTCAAGAAAACAGGTGTTTATATCTGAAGTATGATATATCCTTAAATGTTTTTCTTCATATAGCACCCAAAGTTCCAAACTGTCTAGAAGGTATCTTCTAAAATATAATTCACACATTAAGCCATAAAAATAAAGGCCAAGAAAAAAAATCAATTTAAGACAAAATTTACAGTTTATAGTCTTAATTCCCTATTCAATAAAATATCAATTGCCAATTTATTAAATGAACTGCAAATATGCACTGTTAGTGCTGAAAATCTGAAATATATATCTTTAAAAGTCACTCTTTCTCAAAATATTTAAAATATTGCATCTCTGGTGGCAAACCTGCAAACTATCAAGCATTTTACTTCTCTAGTTTTCATACTTCCAATATCAACCCTACCCCTTTATCCTTTAACAGCCATCCAGCTTTCTGGGGGGAAGGAGGGAAGGGTAAATACACCACATTCCAAACACAAAACACTGACAATACTCCTTGATAAACAAGGAAATAAAATCCCAGTACAGTCCAAGCCTACAGCTTTGCTCCCAAAGTGTGGCACAGGCTAAATGACAGGGAAAAAAAACAAAAAACAAAAAACAAAAAACAAAAAACAATCAATTGCCCTTATTGATGTAGTCAGAATACTCCTGAGAGTCCATAACTGCTTGAGAATTTGCTGATGTAATCCTGAAGAAAGTTTCAACACATTTTGCGACAAATATCAGAGAATAAGTCTTTGATTAATAATTTTTCTATTTATTTCTGCCAAGGCGACTGAAAACACGAAAGCCTTTTCATCAGAGAGGTTAGCATAGATGTCAATTTCCTTTTCCTGTTTCTCTGTTAAAAGAAAAAAGGAAAGCTTTTAATATAAAAGTGACAGATGCTTTGACATAACATTGTAAAATGACTATAACTTAATAAAAAATGTTTTAAAAAAGTGACAGATGCAGCAATTTTTTTCATTTAAAAGTTTTCAAGTATTTCTTTAAATGACAATAAATACTATACATAATACTACAATGTACATTAAATGTTATAAAGGATTATGCTAGTGGACTGAAAATTTCAAATTACATAAAGGAGTTACCGAAATGCCATGAAGTTAATTCTAAGGCTAAATGGAGACTATATATATTTCTATACACACAGTCTAATATCTATATCATTTCTGTAAGAATCTCAACTTTTCTTTTCCTCTCTGGTATGAGTCTCAATCAAAATTTCCTCACCCTAAAGATTATCCCTTCTGACATCAATGGTGCCTTTATGAATATATTAGGTTCTTCACCTTAGCCCTGCTATAGTAACCAATATTTATTTCTACTTTTCCCCTCTTGATTACAAATGTAACATAAACTTCATGGTGGAAATTTTGAAAAATACCGAAAAATAAACAAGAAAAGAAAAATCACCTGTTATTCATGAGCCAGCTAAAATCACAATGAACATCTTTGTCTATATTCTCCCAAATTACTTTTTCAGGCTCTACTATGATTCCACTTTGTTCTTTGGTTTTGTTTTGACTTTTTAATCACAGTTAAACATGCATGACTCAGTTTAGAGTCAAATTATTTTCACAAAACTGTTACAAAAAACAGAAGTTCTCCTCCCTCCATGCATATTTCCCACTCTCCAAATGCAACTTCTTTTATCACATGTTCCTTTTGGTTTTTACCTAAATAACATATTTATCTGATGCAATGTCTTGGTTCTTTGGTTTTAGGCATTACCTTGTTTTTCTGTGAAAAATTAATTTATTGTTTTCTGTCTCTTGCCCCTGCCACACTCTGCTTATTCCACCTTCCCATTATAGTTATACCATAATTTCAATGAGATCAATATATTGTGTTTACATTATTCTCATTATGTAAATGCTTTCACTTTTCCTGCACATTGTTTTCCCTGAAGAGATTCTTTTTCCATTTGCTTAGTTTTCATTAAGAACTGAACCCAAACTCTCTCCTGGTTGTATATATCCTTCAGAATGTTTACACATTATCAATTTTGTCTTCTTGAAGAAATTCTTCAAGAAAGTCTTCTGATCTGCTCCAATCTGAAATGGTTTCTTTCAAGGCCTACTGCACAATTATCATCTTGAGATCTCTCTTCAACATAATGTTGGAGATTCTCCTCATCTATCTCTTGAGTTGGACCCTGTGTCCTGGACCCAGGATACTTTCTTGGTTTACCTCTTCATTTTGATGGCATACATCTTGAATAGCTTCCTGAGGAAGGGAGTACAGGTAGCAAATTTTTTGAGACCCTGAATATCAAAAAGTGTCTTTAGTCTTTCTTCACACTAATTCATACTGTGGTACTAAAGACTCATAGATTTCCTCTTAGTACTTGAAAGGCAAAAAACCATCTTCCAACTACTGGTGTCACTATTAAGAAAACCCAACACATTTTTTATAGTTATTTTTAAAGTGATTGCTAAATTTACATACAGTGAAATACACAGATCTTAAGTGTACAACTGGATGAGCTCTGACAAACATGTATCTCTATATATATGTAACCCACACCACAATCAAGATACAGAAAATTCCCCATGCTCCTTTCCAGTCAATCCCTCCCCAACTCACCAGCAAACACTGTTCTATATCACCATTCATTTTACCTGTTCTTGAACTTCACATAAATGTATCATATAGTATGTACTGTTTTGTGTCTAGCTTCTTTCAATCAACATGTTTTGAAATTCATTGATGCTGTTCATATATGAGTAGTTTGTTCCTTGCTGGGCAATATTCCATCGTATTAATTCCTATACCATTTCAATTATTTTCTCTGAACACTTTGAAGGATTTTCCCTTTTGCTAAAGAGAGATGATTTATGATGATATGCTTTGGCATAACATCTACTTTTGACCATCCATTAGGCTGAGAATTTGGTGGGGTATTTCAATACGGAAACTCAATGTCCTTTGGGTTAGGGAAAATTGCTTTAATTATTTCATTGATGACTTCCTTCTCCTCCGTCTTCTATGTTCTTTTTCTGCAACATCCATTATTTATAGATGTTGACCTCAAAGTGGTCCTAGAAATTTCTTATCTTTTCCATTCTTTTTTCATCTCTTTTCCTATTGCTCTACATTTGGCACATTTCTTCAATTTTGTCTGTATGCTTCTGTTAAAGTTTTTCATTTCTGTAAATCATACATATACTTATGTATTTATATTCATATTTTGAGATTCTTATTTTAAAGTTTATTTTCCAGGTACCTTTTGACATCTGCAGTTTCCTTTTTAATATGTTTTTCTTGTTTCACAACTGCCATGAATTCTCTTGCTAAGAATATTAATGATAGTTTCAATTTTTTTCTTTTCCCTACAAAAACTTACTTCATCCAAGTTATTTTTTGACTTGTTGATTTGGTCTTAGCCTTTCATACTAAGCCTTTCATATATCTAGGTATTAGTAATACACTTATATTTAGGAGTAGGACCAAAAAAGCTGGTTAGTTTGACTGTGATCATCACTTCAGGACCATCTACTGGACCATTTGTTTGTGAAATCTCTAATTAAAGTATTTTTATTTTAGGTCTCTTCTCTTGGGCTCTTCAGATTCCCTTCCTCTAATATCTCACCTGGAAGATACAAACCTGACTGAAGAACTCAATATTTACCATCTCCAATTTTTATCTAATCTGCCTCATCTAATTTGTTGCCCCTGGCCTCAATGATGCCTGCTAGTGTTCCTGGACCAGAGACCCTGTTTTGCTTTATCTTTTTCAAAGGATAAACTTGTGGTGGGGATGGGGGGGCAGTGGGGGACACAGTAAACAGCCCCAGCAGGCTATCAAAACACACTTTCAAATAATCTTGTTTTAAGCCTCACCTTCATACCTCTACATTTCCAGACAGAACTAATGCATAAATTCCTGACCTTAAGGCAGCTGTGTAATAAAAATCAGTCTGTCTCAGCTTTCCTCAAAGGAGCTTACAATTTAGGTCTCCTAAAAAGAAGTTACCACTTTCCAAAATTTTGTTGCTTCTCCCATTCCTTTTCCTTGTGGGATTTTGCCCTTTTAAAAACAAATCCCTTTCCTGACATTTTACTAGGATTTGGGGAGGGTGCAGAGCTAGAGTGTTTATTCAATCCACCATCTTTAACTTGTAGTATACATTAATTCTATATTCATTAATAAAATATTCAGAATTGCCCGATATATTTTAATCAATCAAAATGTCACTCCTACATTACTAATATCCAGAATAATCATACACCCCATATAGGAAATGAAGATTTATTTTAAACCAACCAAAAACCAAAAGTTTAACAGTTTGTTTTTATGATTTTATAAAGATAATGTTGTTATCTAGATATCTAGAAAGCTTTCCCTTTCCAGTCTTTCTTCTTCCTATCTTTTACAAAATATAGAAAACAGTAAGGTCGATTAAAAATGTGCTTTTAGGCACAATTGTCAGGTTTTCTTTATTAAAATAAAGGTAAAGCCTGCTTCAAATTCTTCAAGTGCCCTATGAACAGGAAATCAATAAATACTAAATTTAAGTAGTTAATTAACACTGAGAAGAATATCAAAGAAGTCTATTCTAAAATATACAGACATTTCAAAAGTTCCTATTTCTTATCAGTATTCTATTTAGGAAATATGATCTGCCCTAATGGTTAGTAACATACAGCCCAGAGTCAAAATCTGGCCTGCCACCTGTTTTTCCAAAGTCCTACCGCAGTACAGCCATGCTCATTCATTTGCATATTCTCTATGGCTGCTTTCCAGCTACAGCGACAGAGCAGAGTGGCTGTGACAGAGACTATATGGCTCACAGAGCCTGAAAGATTTGTTATCTAGCTCTTTATAGAGAAAGTCTGCTAACTGCCCCTGCCTCACATTAAAAGATTCTAGTTCATTAAACAAAAATTGCTTTGAGTGCTTTCCTATTTACATCAAAAGCAAATATATTACAAACATATTTTACCCTGGAAATAGCTTTCTTAAAATTTTTCTATAATAAACCAAAAATATCTGAAAAAAATTTATAGCCAAATAAACACTTTTTTTCAAGATAACATGAAATAAAATATTCAAACTTGCATATGTAGAGTCCTAGCACAACTACAGAGACTTGTTTCCCCAAGTAAAAGACTGTCATTATCTGTTTTCTCATCTCTTACCCACCACCAGAAGCATAACTTCTCCATTCTTTGGGTTATATTCCCTTTACTTCAACTGAAAAGAATGTTGTTTTCTGGCCCAAGCAGTCTTTCCTTCTTTTCTTTTGCCTCTGTTGACTTTTCCTTACCTAGATTCCCTTATGAAACAGTTTTTAGCACAGATTTTTCTAATCATCCCATTGTTAAAACACATTCAAATTGGAGGGAAAAAAAAAACAACCCTTAAAGTCTCTGGAAGATCAGAACAGAAGGAAAGAGAAAAAGCAGTAAAATTACCCAAGGAATTAAGAAGTATCTAAGTATAGTCTTCATAGAATACAGCCAAATAAAATATAAACTTTAATCCTTTAGTCATACAATATTACGAAATCTTTAACTTTGATAAAAAACTATACCACTGAAGTTATTTTCCCTAACAGTAGTAATTTTTTTCAAATAAAAGCACACAAAGCAGAGAGAAATGATGAACAGGTAAAAAATTCTCAATATCTAAAATATATTTATGCTTGAATACCTGAATATCTAAGACTGAATACCTGAAAGCGTAACTCACAAGTAAGAAATTATAAATGCATTTCACTGAAGGTGAAATTATTTTAATAAAGGTTTTTTGGGTATCTAACTACATTGTTTTTTTTAAATTGAAATATAGTTTATTTACTTGATAGAGGTTTTAAAGAATTGTAAGAAGCAACTATCCCTTTTTTCATTAATCAGTGGCTTAAAAGTCTCACTTTAAAAAAGATATTCATGGGCATATAGGGGCTCATTATACTATTATTTCTAATTTTGTATAATCTTTGAAATTTTCCACAATACAAAGTTTTTTAAAGATGTATAAGTCAAAAGAGAAGCTGAAGTTTTAGTTAATGGTTAAAAATAAGTTTTGGCAGACACACTACTACTTATCAGAAGAAAGGAGAAGCTCTGTAAGGAGAATATGAATATGTTTGGACCACACAGAATTCACCTTCCTATTCAAAAGCTGCCTCACAGCAAGGGAACACACAATAAGAGCAATTTAAAAATTCATACTGAAGAACATTTTCAATAGTATATTTTTTAAAACTCATAGTATAACAGTTTGAAATAAGTCTTAACAGAATTCAGATTCACCTTAAAAAAAGAAGTAGTACAACCATTTTTACAGGCTTATCCAGGATGTCATATACAATTATCTCTGAACTCTACTATCAGCAGTTTATAGCAAGGTGAATTTTACTTAATTTAAGCCTTCAGTTTTCTGATAAGAATAAATTTACGTGACTTTTTAAAAACAAGTAAATACCTTAGAGAAAATGCTTTCATAAACTAAAATATGAGTTGGGATTTTAAGTTCAATGCCTACCAAACACTTTCTTCACTATTATCTAATTAAGATCTTAGAAAACTTTAATACTTGGAGAAAAAAAAAGCTGCTGGATTTACTCATACCTCTTTCTTCCTCATGTTTTTTGGCAGATGCACTTTTAGGTCTTCCTCTTCCTCGTCTGATATGATCTGAATGGCTGTTACTTCGAGACCTCTTTCTGTTTTCTAAGTCCTTATTTACTGTAGAATTTATCTTCTCTCTCCTAACTCTCTCTGTTCGCCTCCTCTTGGCCTCATGCTTGTTTTCTGTATGAATGAATAAAAGTGATATATTTTAGGGCTTAGCAAGAACTGTTTGCCCAAGTTTTCATTGCTTTCTTCTTTTTCTTTCTAAATAGCACTAGTGTTTGCTGCCTGGCATATTTTATAAAAATACAACCATAACATCTATGTCCCTCACATCCATGTGAAAAAAAAAAAGAAATTGAGCAGAATTCAGATCCATGTTAACACATGAGGTAGGAGGAATCTTGTAACAGAAGATGAGTTTCTTTATTTGGCACCTTTAATTTCAGCCCCTACAAGTTCACACAATACCCAGGGACCTTTCTCCCTTTTTCCTTCTCTCTGCTTTCAAGCTAAAAGTGATAAAGTATTACAAAAGGGAAAAAAATTCCATTTTCCCCCCTACCCAAATTATAGATTGAGATATGTCAAATACACAGAAGCAAAACTGACTTTAGCCATAATTTATTAGGTTATCAATAAAAAGCAAACAGAAAGTATCTAGGGAAAACATAAAAACACTAAGGAAGTAAGGAGTTTTCATTTTAGCCACAGATGAGGTAATTTCTGACATTCTAAGAGGATGTTTATTCCAAATGGAATAGCAATAGGGGAACTTTACTCAATATGACGATTTAATTAATGCAAGGAGCCACCCTTCTCTCTCCAAACAGATCAAAAGGTTGGATAAGACAAACAAACAACAATTTTTTAAAAATTGCTTTAATACATACCTGGACTCAAAAGCAAGAAACAGAATTTCCCAAATGCCTAAAATCATGATGGTAAGGGGGCAAAACAAATAAGAAAATTTACATCCAAAGGACTAAAGGGAACAATTTAAAAGGCTATATAAATTATGTTTAAGAGGCTACTATAAAAAAATTTTTTTAATTAAAGTAAAATACTAATAGTTATTGCCAAATACCATATCCTTAATTCCAGGCCACAGATTAGATATATACCAGATGATGAAAGAACATTAACTATTCCAGATTTTAAGAAAGTTATCAAAGACAACCAGTGTCTTGATGAAGGACTCAAGGGCTAACTTGAAGAGGCTCCCACTGATAATTTAAAATAATTTGAGCATTAATAAAAAATAATAACTATAATAGACTGAAACATCTCAAGAACCAACTCTCTATTTTGAAAACTAAAAGGGAAAGAATAAAGCATTTATTATTTCTTTTCTATTCAAACTGTACCACTCATTGGGTTACAAGGGCAGATGAACAGCCCTTTCTCATTTTACAATCACTGCAGCTAAAAAAATGAAGAAGGAATGATAAAATCAGGGCATCACCACTTTCAACCTGAAATGAACTGAATGACCTAAATGCTAAACTTCAACAGCTACTAACATCACAGAAACAGATGAGGAGACTATGTGCCTCCTGATAGAATACCTACCGATTAAGTAGTCTTGTCAAAAATAAATAAATAAATAAAATCTCAAGTCCTTGGATCCAAATTACAATTTTTAAGAAAAACAAAAGTCATTAGAGGAATGTGTTAACACACACTATGGAGACACAAACAGTACATCCAAATGGACAAGAGATGTAGTTTCTATAACATAATTTGCAAGGAAAAAAAGAGAAAATAATAAGAGAGCCAAAAAAGATACCACCCATATGCAATGTGTGAATTTTATTTGGAATCTGTTTTTAAAAACTTTAAGACCATTTATGAGAAACCTGAAAATTTAAATACCAGTTGGATATTTGATATTAAGGAATTATTGTTAATTTTTATTATGCTTCTGTTTTTAAAGGTCTATGTTTTAGAAACATATAATAAATGCTTTATAATTAAAATTACATGAGATTTGCTTGAAAACAGTATACAAGAGAAGAAGTAGATGGTGGATGTGGATGGGGCAGGGTTGGCCACTGTCTCCTCTTGTGTATGCTTAGAATTTCTCAAAAAATAAAAAAGTTAGAAGAAATAGTGATAGGTAAAGCTTTTTATAGTATGCCTTTTAAAGTTTGATACTAAATTTAGGTTGTTCCTCCAGCTACTCACCCATCTCTGCAAACTTTTTCATAGTCAAACGTCTCAAAAAAAGAGATATGTGTATTTTCTGCCTTCAGTTTCTCACCTCCCATTCACTAATCAATTCACTTCAGTACAGTTCCCAACCCAATTAAACTGATCAAGAAGGACAAAACCTCCCTTACCAAATCCAGCAGACAACTCTCTTTAGTCATTTTAATTTCACCTCTCAAAAATTCATCAAAGACAAAAGATGACTTACTCTTTTCCTTGCAATTATTTTTTCACTTGATTTTCAGGTTCTCCAGGTTTCCCATTTCACAAGCCATTCCTCTTTATCTCCTCTGCTGTCTCCTCCTCCCCCAGGTTCTTCCTCATCTCTAATATTAAAGCCTCAGGACTCTGTCCTGAGCCGTCTCCCTTATACTCAGCCTAGATAATCCATGGACCCAAACCATTAAGCACTATTGTTACATAGGTTCCGAAATTTATACTTCCAGCTCTGACTTCTTCCCAAAGCTCTAAACTGCCTACCTGACAACTTTACTTGAATGACTCACAAGCATTTAAATGTACCAAAAAAAACTCAATTTTTCCCTCCTACTAGTAAATAGCACCAACCTGTTGCCAAAGCCAAATAACTTTTAGTCATCTGTGACTCAGCTTTTATCAGCACAAAAGTCCACAGATACTCTCTGCAAGATATATACACAATTTCTTCATTTCTCGTGCTTCCAAGGGCAACATCCGAACCAAATACATTCCCTACACAACTGCCAAAATTATTGTTTAAAAAAAAAATTCAGATCGTATAGCTTCCTTTCTAGAACCTTTCCTTAGCTTTTCACTTTATTTTAAATAGTCAAATTTCCTTACCAAAGACTGCAAGTCCCTATAAGACTTGACATTCACCTCTCACCCATCTCATCTCAAACCACTGGCCACTTTGCTCACTACTCTCCAGACATGCCTTCCTTTAAATAAAACACGTTCCTTCCTCTCCTTGAGTCTCTGCACCTGCTAATCCTTCTGCCTAGAGCTATCTTCCCAAGGCTCTTCAAGATACAGGCTTTATTTCCTTCAGATGTCAATATATAGGTCATCCTCACTGAGACTCCCAGCCTAAATTACTTTCTATAATCTTCTACTACCACTACTACTATAATCTGTTATTTATTTACTTGTATGCTTAATATGTCTCCCCCATCAGAATATAAGCTCTATGAAAGTTGGGACACTTTTGTCTGCCTAATTCACACAACCTAAAACATTACCTACACACATTAAGTACTGCTGAATAAATAAAATCAAACTGAGCATATGCATTTACCTCATTATCTTCTCAAAATCTCACTGAAGTGGGAATAAACATGGAGGAAAGGGAAAAAAGAAAACAATGTTGCAATGTTGGAAACAAGGAAAGGGTCTGATTAATGATCTGAAATTACAGAATTTCAGCAAATTGGAAAACTGACAGAATCTGATTAAATAACCAGAATAGAAGAAACTAAATTTCAAAATAAGAGTAAGAGACGGCTCTTACAGAAAAGGTAACTGTACTTCCCAAGAATACTTCCAGGACAGGACAAAAAGTACAGTAAAGGGGAGCAGGTCACAGGCTGATCATCAGAATACAGAACCATTGCAGAAGCACTGGGCCTATGTACACAAAGCAACAGATATAAAGAAAGAAGTAAAGCAATGTTCAAGGGAACTTTGAACCTCCACAACATAGAAAGAAACAAAAAAGGTAGCGCCTCATAAAAATGAAACACTGTAAAGGATTTCACATTGTGCCCCAGAATGAAGCCTTTCTTATTTTGGCAATCATGGATTTCAACATCATCCCCCAGCTCACCTAGTTTACATCTAAAAGCCTGTCTTCCAATTATACACTAAAGAGATCTGTTGCCAAAACAGATCTTCAAAACAGTGTAGATACTCATGCAAGTTACCTATATTGATAAAGCAAGTCCTTCATTTATAAATATCAATAGGAATTAAGGATTGCCAGCTATTTAAAGAAGACAAAAGTGTGAGAGAGAGAAGGAATAAGACAAAACATGAGGAACAAAGGTAGCTCAGTAAACAAACAAAAATCTTAAAACATACCTTCAGAGAAATCTGAGAGATTATATCAGAAAGAGAAAACTCCAACCTAAAATTCATATGGAATCTCAAGGGACCCCAAACAGCCAATCTTGGAAAAGAACAAAGAATCACACTTTGATTTCAAAACTTTGTCTAACAAAACTACTGTAATCAAAAAAGCACAGTACTGGGGTGGGAGTGGGTACAGCTCAGTGGTAGAGCACGTGCTTAGCATGCACAAAGCCCTGAGTTCAATTCCCAGTACTTTCATTAAAAAATTTTTTTTAAAAAAACCACAGTACTTGCCTTACCAGAGACACAAATGAACAGAATAAAATAGAGAGCCCAGAAATAAATCCTTGACTATACGGTCAAATGATTTTCAGTAACAGCTGCCACGATGACTCAAGGAAGAGCAATACTTTCAACAAGTGAGTTTCAGAAATAAAAACACGGGTTAAAAAAAAATGATATATAAGAAAAAGTGGGATTATCCCTGTAGTACAATGGAAAGAAATTTTCGTATGACAGCTGTGCAGCAGATCTAAAATCCATCAGTCTTAATTAAAAGAAATCAGAGGATTCTATGAAAAATGTCTTAAAGATCAAAACAGATATTATATGAACTATATGATTAAACACCTAAAAGCACAGAGGTAAAGGTATGCACTTTTTCATCAAAAGGCAAAATAAAAACTATGTTCCATATATGACTGTACAGCAGTTTTAAGTAATTAGCATATAAGAAACAATGTTTCCTCAAAATACAGAACCAAACCTTCACTGTCAAGTAATTCAGAGTTGAGGATCACTTACTACTGAATTAATGTTCCATCACTTTCTATTAGGTATTGGTAATAATCATTTCTCCATTTTCCCTTAACTATAAAAGTGAGTATATCATTTATTTACTTTGCTTTTTTATCAGCCTT